ACAACAATAGACAATTATATATAAATTATATGTGCAAAGTTTGGTTTACGTAGCATTTGAAATGTGGACGCTATTGACGAAATTCTGCAGCGGGGGGAAGGGGGGAAAATTAAAAAAAAAACAAGAGAGAACGCTACAGTCGAGCAAGCCCGACAGTGTAATACCCTGTACCCAGGTAAACTTCCGTCACTGAGTTATATGCACCCATAGCAGCAAAAAGAGGAAGAAGAAGAGCGAACTTGTTGCTGCAGTTTGGGGGGGTTGTACTGGCGAGAATTTGTTTCGCTAATAACTTTTCTTAGAATTGACCGAATTGAATAAACAACAGTAGACAATAATATATAAATTATGTGTGCAAAGTTTGGTTTAGGTAGCATTTGAAATGTGGACGCTATTGACGAAATTCTGTAGCGGGGGAAGGGGGGGAAAATTAAAAAAAAAAAAATAAACTCGTCCTTACTCGGACCTAGGAGAATCTGGATGCCAAGTTTGGTTATTCTAGCTTTTATAGTTTCTGAGATCCTCGCGTTCATCCAGACGGACGGACAGACGGACGGACATGTCTAGATCGATTTCTCTCGTCATGCTGATCAAGAATATATATACTTTATGGGGTCGGAGATGCTTCCTTCTGTATGTTACATACTTTGCACAAACCTAATATACCCTTTTTACCCTACGGGTACAGGGTATAAAAATAAACTCGTCCTTACTCGGACCTAGGAGAATCTGGATGCCAACTTTGGTTATTCTAGCTTTTATAGTTTCTGAGATCCTCGCGTTCATCCAGACGGACGGACAGACGGACATGTCTAGATCGATTTCTCTCGTCATGCTGATCAAGAATATATATACTTTATGGGGTCGGAGATGCTTCCTTCTGTATGTTACATACTTTGCACAAACCTAATATACCCTTTTTACCCTACGGGTACAGGGTATAAAAAAATTAAGAGAATTAAACAAAAATTTTTATCGATTTTACCTCTCTTGGTATTCGAACTCACGTAAAGGGTGTATAATTTCACATATACAAAGCAATTGCGTCTATGTGAGTGTATGTATGTTTATGCTCGTATATTCGTGTCTGTGAAAGCATGTTCGCAGTCAACAAAAGCACCAGCATCAAGAACAGCTGCGGGCAGCGCTGCAGCAGCAAACATATTTATGGCTATAACTTCTTGTTAAATCGGTCTATCATAATGAAACTTGGCATACGGATAAATAATTACTAACTGGGGGTATTTGCAAAATTTTAGTTCGATATGCCAAGAGTTACGCGAGTTAGAGAAAATCGCGATTTTCATGGGAGAGGGGGGAGGGAGGGAAATACCAAAATACATATTTTCTGCGTATTCACATAATAAAATTTGGTGTCCCTAGGTCTTATAGTCTCCGAGATAAAGGCGATTATGCGAATGGAAAATCGGGAAAACCCCCATAGGGGGGAAGTGGGGGGGGGGGGGGGGAATCACAAAAAATAAAACAAACTAGCACAGCGTACACATAAAACGCATCTCTGTGCAAAATTTGGTGTCCCTACCTCTTATAGTCTCTGAGATCCAGTTGCTCATACGGACAGACGGACAGACAGACAGGGCTAGATCGTCTCGTCTCGTCATGCTGATCAAGAATATATATACTTTGTGGGGTCTGCTACGCCTCCTTCTTCCTGTTGCATTTTATGTACAGAGTATGGAAACATATACATACAAGTATGTACATATTTATGCATCCATGGGTTTTGTTTTGTTAATCTTTACTGTTTTAACCGTACGTAGAGAACCGTGTGTTTGTAGTCTGTCAAGGGCGTACGCAGGTTTTCTGAAGGGGGTCCAAAAAAAAACTTTTGAAAATTTTAAATCGTTTTTAAATAATTAATATTTCTTGTCATGTGTACATACATTTACACATTAGTGTCTCACATTTTGGCTTTGGCTATTTCAATCGTTTGTACGTAACTACATGAACAGATGCTTGTATGTGTGTGTGTGTATGTGTACTAAGTTGTCCCCAAATGTGTGATATGCATTTTATGTTGCTTGTTCTGCCTGCATTTGTAAAGCGAAACCCGTATTTCAATAATTTAAAAAATCCTTAAATGCAAAGTTGCAGATTTAGTTACCTTGATTACATTATCCAAATTGGAAATCGATCGGACAAAATTTATAACTCAAACTTTTCATTTGAAAACAAGTAAAAAAGCTAAAGTCGGATGTCCCGACTTTGAAATACTCTGTACATATGTTTAGAATAATTATAGAAATTAAAAAAATTAAGAGAATTAAACAAAAATTTTGATCGATTTTACCTCTCTTGGTATTCGAACTCACGTAAAGGGTGTATAATTGCACATTTACATAGCAATTGCGTCAATGTGAGTCTATGTATGTTTAAGCTCGTATATTCGTGTCTGTGTAAACATGTTAGCAGTCAACCAAACAGCACCATCAACATCAGCCGCGGGCATCGCTTGAGCAGCGCTGCAGCAGCAAATATATTTATGGCTATAACTTCTTGTTAAATCGGTCATCATAGTGACACTTGGCATACGGACACATAATAACTAACTGTTAGATAGGAGTTAGAGAAAATCTCGATTTACATGGGAGAGGGGGGAGGGAGGGAATTTCCAAAATACACATTTTCTGCGTATTTCCATAAGGCATCTGGGACTAAAATTTGGTGACCGTAGGTGTTATAGTCTCGGAGATATAGGCGATTATACGAATGGAAAATCGGGAAAACCCTCATAGGGGGGAAGTGGGTGGGAAAATCAAAAAAATAAAACAAACTTGCACAGCGTACACACATAACGCATCTTTGTCCAAAGTTTGGTGTCTCTACCTCTTGTAGTCTCTGAGATCCAGGTGTTCATACGGACATACATACAAATTTTGGAAATACCCCCAGTTAGTAATTATATGTCCTTATGCCAAGAGTCCGATTTAACATGGTGTTATAGCCATAAATATATTTGCTGCCGCAGCGCTGCTCAAGCGCTGCCTGCGGCTGTTGTTGATGCTGTTGCTTTGGTTGACTGCGAACATGCTTACACAGACACGAATAGACGCGCATAGATACGCAATTATACACCCTTTACGTGAGTTCGAATACCAAAAGAGATAAAATCGATCAAATTTTTATAGCCTGTACCCAAAGGGTGAAAGGCTATACTAGTTTTGTGCGCATGTATGTAACACACAGAAGGAGGCGTGGCAGACCCCATAAAGTATATATATTTTTGATCAGGATGAGAAGACGAGTCGATATAGCCATGTCCGTCTGACCGTCTGTCTGTATGAGCGCAAGGATCTCCGAAAGTATAAGAGCTAGAATAACCAAACTTGGTATACAGATTGTCCTGAGACCGAGAAAGGACGAGTTTGTTAATTTTTTCTGATCCACCCCCCCCCCCCCCCACTCCCCCCCTATTGCGGATTTTCTATAACTCCCGTAATTCTTGGAATTTTGAACTAAAATAGTAGTCTCATTAGGTTAGTAATTATATATCCGTATACCAAGTTTCATTATGATAGAATGATCGGAAAGAAAGTTATAGCCATATAACCAGGCCCAATGCACACATACATACATATGTACAAGTACACAAACACGCATAAGGCACGATTCTGATGTAAATGTATGTATGCATGCATGGAATATTTTACATTTAATTAGTTAATATTTAGTTAATTAATTAAATTAATTTAGTTAATTAATTAAATTAAATTAATTAATTAATTTAATTACTTTTTTGTGGGGTGGTACAGGGTATTTAAGAGTTGAGCCTGCTCGACTTTAGCATTCCTTTCTTGTTTTTAATTGTCTTACTTTTTTAATTTCTATAATTATTCTAAACATATGTACAGAGTATTTCAAAGTCGGGACACCCGACTTTAGCTTTTTTACTTGTTTTTTTTTATTTTCTATAATTATTGTAAACATATGTACAGAGTATTTCAAAGTCGGGACATCCGACTTTAGCTTTTTTACTTGTTGTTCTACTCTAAATGTTTTAATGCTATAACTCAATTAGGCGTGTCGAGCATTTTATATTTCGAGGTTTTCTGAGCTATACGTATATCTATTGATTCTGAGGTGATAGGTCGTTACATGTCCAATAGCCCAAATAACAGGCTAAATATTTTTAAACCGGCAGGAAATCGCAGTGCTCAAAACGCGCTCTGCAGTAATTACCAAATGCCAAAGTTGAACTAACGGTTTTTGTCTCATCACTGACGGCATCATCAGCGTCATCATCAACTTCTGCCCAAGTAGACACATGATTTCAACGGCGTTTGTATAAAAACACATCTAAATTGCAAATTAAGCAACAAATTTCATCAACAATATTTGAATTTGAATTTAAATGTGGCAACACGTTGGAGAGCCAGCCCTAGACGCAAAGGGAAAGAAACGAATTAAAGCGGAGACAACAACCCACAAACCAAAAATGTAAAATTGGTTTGGCTTGTAAACTTTGGATGATAAGGTTTCGGGTAGTGCGGTCAGCGGGGACGTGGGTGTGACATTTTCGAGTTGCACTGGCTGACGTCAACACCGAGAACACAACAATGGCAGCCATTTCAGTTTGCTTTTCTCTTTCCCCATTTTTTTTGTACCCGCATACGAGCTCTCAGTTTGTGAGTGTGCGAGTGTGTGTTCTGGTTGGCCTGTGTATTTTGTTGTTTGTTTGTCAAAAGAAGCAATTTACGTGCAAAATAACTCAAGTGTCATGCAAATTTCATTTATTTTTCACAAGAAAAAAAATTCACGTACCGGCACCGGTTAGCGCTACGTTGTCATAGAGAGCTCAAGCTGTCACTCTTTATAATTATTATTCACTATACTCGAAGCGTAAAAATGGATTTAACTTAAACTAGTCTACAGAGGATTGTAGAAACAAGATGTTTGAAATTGATAGAAGAATTTCCGAGTTGATCAAACATATTTTTCACTGTGCTCTATGAGTGCACGCACATAATTTAGCTACTCACCGGCATTGTTTGACTTCCGTGTAAATTGGTTATTGCTGATTGTGCCTCTTGTTGCGAACCAAATTTAATGAAAGCGCAGCCTAAAATTATAAATTAGAGTTTAAGTAAAATGTAAGAATGATTTGTTATTAACATGAAATTGTTGAGGTCTTGTAACACTCTGGGTTTTATTAAGTGTCGTTCTCAATGGGTCCGAATATCCAACTATAGCATGTATGTACATTCGTATGTATGTATGTATGTATACATTGGACAATCGAGCACTGTTGTTTGATTGTAATAAATAATGTTCTATGGTTTTAAATCAAATTTTTAAAACGAACAAGTAAAAAAACTAAAGTCGGGTGTCCCGACTTTGAAATACTCTGTACAATAATTATAGAAATTTAAATAATAAAATTCGACACTCCTCCTTTGGTATTTGAACTCACGTAAATGGGGTATGCCTGCACAGTACAGAGTTTAGTCGCAGCGGCAGCTAGCGCTTGGGCAGAGATTATATTTATGGGGAAAACTTCCTTAAAAATCTGACAATCATGATGAAATATGGACACATAATCACTAACTAAATACTAACTAATTCCAAGAATTAAGGATGTTATGGGGCTATAACTAATTGCGAAGGAGAGAGGTGTCCCTACGCCTTATAGTTTCCAAAATATACGAGATTATTTATTATTATTTCCTACACAATACTCCCATGGCACAAAACACTCTCTAAAAAAAAACATACCACATGTAGGAACAAATCCCTCCTAAAACATGCGAGCTGACAAGCCGAAAGGCAGACAAGCGCAAATTTCGCGAGCAAACAACGCGAGATGTAGCACAAAAGAGAAAAGATGAGGGGGCAAGGGGATTTCTGCGCTGAAAATTTACAAAATATAAAGTGTAAAAAATGCAAGTGGATTTTTGTTTGGTGCCACATGGTGTTCTTCTTTTGTATGTTTTTGTGTTGATGTGACAACAAAATCCTGAGGAACACACAAAAACACACACAGATTCCAAGCCAGATAGTCGGTCTAATGGACAGTGGAACGGGCATACACAAGTGCAAATCAGCGTCGATGTTTGTTGCGCGCTTAACAATAAAAAATAAAATATTTTGTTGACTGTTAATCCGCAATGCACAGAAGCGCATGGAAGGGCAGGAACGAAAAAGAATAAGGGAAAAAGAAAAATGGTAGCCAGGCCGGACAAAAAAGCAAAAGAAAAACAAAGCAACTGCCAAGCATTTTGGAAAGCTTAAATCAAAGTCAACTTTTAGTTTTTTCGTTGCCATTTATCGTGATCCATCAGATCTAGCTTACTTCTGTAAAAACTACGGGAACTTATTTATTACCATGAATTACTACCAGTAGCTAGTGTTCGTATGTCAAATTATAAGGACTTGCGTGGAAGAGACAAGCTCCGCCCATCGTTCACTCTCTCCGTCATATGGTTTCTAATTACAGTTGCTTATGCAGGTTTCATCGATTTCCGACCCACGTCTTTTGACAATCCACATATTGAGAATAAGTCCACCACACCCTATAACTGTAAACTTGACATGTATCGTAGATATAACAAGGGGCTTTAGATTTGTAATCGATAAAATCAGAAGTTCCTATTTATTGATTGAAGAAAACGCTGACCAAATCTTTTCAAACCCAATTTTGGATCCTATTGGTGCAATCAGAAATTTCAATCTGAAAGAGAAGTTTAGGCGCTATATTTGTATAGGGCTAGTAAGTTATTCCCACCCAGACTAGCCAAGTTGTTTAGGTAAAAGAAAATGCCGTTGAAGTTTAATGTAAGTACGCCTATTATTACCAACTGCTTTATTAAAATTTTACAGCCCATTGCAAACAAACTAAGCTCCAAATAGCCAATTAGTACACATCAACTTTCCCATCTTAGGTATTTACGTTGATAACTAAGCGCTTGGAACTTTCGCATTTTGTCATTTATCTTAACTCACTAAGATCCAGGATAATTTGTGGAACTTTAAGTCATTAAATTAATTAAAAGAAAATCAAGCAACAGTAGTTACTGTCAAAGGAGTGAGCGCAACGAATATTTAAGGGATGTCCATAGGCTGGGGCTTTGAAGTCTTGCAGCAAAAACAAAATTCAATTTACATACAAATCAAAAGCAAGACTGGACACTTCAGCATCTGCCGCATTATAATTAAACGACAGCCGAGTTGAAAAGTTACTGTGGATGAAGCAGTAGCTGACTTTTAAAGCTAACGAAGTGCGAGCTTTAATTACTAAAGCACTTGGCTGGGGCTGGAGATAGGACAATTAGTAGAAATTAAAAAGGAAGCAGTTGAATCTTGAACTCAGGCAAAAGCGAAAATGCAGGTGCATTTGATGATACTGAGCGCAATGCAAATGACAATACAAAAGTTTTGTTGCCATCAACATACTTGTGCTAGCTTAATAAAAAGAAAACTAGCGTTGTTTAACAAGCAGTGATAACGAATGCCTACCGACGCTGAGCTTCTTGTGCTTTTGGAATACCATTTTTCATTGCTTTTAATGTACGAGTATGTTGCCATCTATGACCAAAAACCTAAGCCTTGGCACGACACTATTCCGTTCGCATATGACAAATTGCCGCCGGTCAAATACATAACTGTACCATGGCGTGGTCATTGGTGGGCAACCGGAAACAAGGATAACGAGCGTGTTGTGCGGCAGCCTGTGCTATGGCGAAAACTGGGCGATATGGTTAGTCATTTGAGCAGCGGTGGCAGCAGTCAGAAAGGCTTGGCATGTCCCCGTCGCCTGCTGCTGCATGGAACAAGTATTTTAAAATCCAATTAAAAACACCCTAGTGGGATTTTTCAATCGCTGTTACTGTTTCTGCTGCCTATACTAGTATGGCTGCTGATGATGTTCACAACAACGGCCGAGCGACAAAGTTGCATTAAGCGCCAGCCGTTAGTCGTTTCCCATGTGCGCCTCGACATTGTGGGTGGACGGACACGTTGATGGCTAGTGCATGTTTGCCTCTTTGGCTCAAAATCGTACCATGAATCTTGTTGGTCGACGTTTACGCTTATTACGTGCAGCAGTAGCAGCGGCAGCAACAGCGCCGGTTGCAGCGTCTGTGGCAGCAAGGCTATCGAGGTTATTTAATGTATGTGGTGTCGATGATGACGCGGGACGCAACAACTGGCGCCCATATCAGCAGCAATACAAACAAAGCCATACCCTTGGTAAGGTAAAGCTATATTCCTTGCATTTTTGTGCGGAAACTAGCAATTCGATGTATTTTTCGTTCCAATGCGTTTTAATTTCAATAAAAAGCTAAAGGCTTATAGCCAGGAAATAAAGATTTAATTAAAATAACACAACAATTACTAAAGTTTATTTGGAAGAGCCTGCGTTCCAACTCATCTAACAAATTACAGAACTAATGTGAAAATCATGTTGCATTAGCATGCACCCAACGAAACGATACACTATCACCAAACGTATTTAAATGTGTGTTTGGTCCCATATTAAAGGAAGATGAAACGATTCTTGATTAGAAGAACAAGACGAGTCGATATACATATCCATGTCCGTCTGTGCTTACGTCCAAGGATCTCAGAAAGTATAAGAGTTGCAAATTGGCCTGTTATTTCTACAATATAATTGAAGCCTTTATAATTTGACACCGAAGAAATTAGATCAGACACATTAAGAAATCAGATCTTGTTTATTGGAAAATAGAACAATTTACAAAAATTCTGTGAAGCAGCTGCAAATACTTAAGTTCTATAGAATATTTGGCAATAGGCAGCAGAAAACTGGTAACTAGTGACAAACAAGCAGACAAACCTATATCTGTACAAAACAAACAAATTTTTCGGCTAATATTAACAAATGTTTCAAAAAGTGCTGGGAGTTGTAGGCGACTGGTTGCAGTCATGTACTTCTGTACGAGTCCTTCTCTTGGTGTCATCTGTCTTTGTTAAAGAGGTTTGTCAACATGGCTTATAACAACCTATCTCCGTTTGCACCCAGTGCGAGACCCAAAAGACCAACACCTCAAAGAAATAATATTTTAGCTTTTGTTATAGGCCTTCTCGACCCGTGCCCAGCAGTTCTACATCAAGTTTCTGTTTCTTTTGTGTAGCATCCTTTTCTACGTTATTTACACAGCACTTGTAAAAAACAAGTAGAGAAGCTAAAGTCGGGTATCCCGACTTTGAAATACTCTGTACAGGGACACCCGACTTTAGCTTTTTTATTTATTTTCGTAATTCTGAACAGACAAACTTTGTGGAGAGTAATACTTTAAACTTGTCCGTGAACCGCGCATTTATTTCGTGTAAAATGCTTACTATTATTTAATACATAAAGTTATCTTTTAGTTTATTGCGTAACTATACTACAACTAACTCTTATATAGTGGTAGAACAGAACGTTATGAGGATAAAATGTTGCAAGACCATTGCTGACAGTAAAGGCTGATATATTTGTGTTCACATTGAAAATAAGCGTGGCCCAGAAAAAAGTGTCTGAAAGGTAATTATACCCTGTACCCAAAGGGTGAAAGGGTATACTAGTTTTGTGCGAATGTATGTAACAGGCAGAAGGAGTAAAGTATATATATTCTTGATCAGGATGAGAAGACGAGTCGATATAGCCATGTCCATCTGTCCGTCCGTCTGTATGAACGCAAGGATCTCCGCAAGTATAAGAGCTAGAATAACCAAACTTGGTATACAGATTCTCCTGAGCCCGAGGAAGGACGAGTTTGTTCATTTTTCCCGATGCGCCCCCCCCCAATCCCCCCCTAATCAAGATTTTCTATAACTCCCGTAATTCTTGGAATTAAAAAAAAAAAAAAAATTTAAAATTTGGTAGACACATCCAGTTAGTAATTATATATCTGTATACCAAGTTGCATTATGATAGGTTGATCAGAAAGAAAGTTATAGCCATATTTAATTAAATTAAATTAATTTATTTTTTTGTGGGGTGGTACAGGGTATTTAAGAGTTGAGCCTGCTCGACTTTAGCATTCCTTTCTTGTTTTTATACTCTGTACATGAAATGTACAGAAGTATATTAGGTTTGCGGGAGCTGAAAAATGAAACAGG